CCCCCCCCCTTTTTCTCGTTGTTGTTTGTCACTATTATTGATATTTTTCGATATCGAGCGTGACACCGTGCGAGACTCGAGTAGATGGATGGCGAAATGCATATAACCGGCGTTGTTTTGTTTCACCCTGTTTTAATAGAGCTTTTTTTCTCGACGCGGCGCAGATTTAGTATTTCTTTTTTCGAATCGAGACTTTTTAACCTGTTAACCGGAGAGGACGAGATAACTCGCCATTGGAAATGTACTCGAAATTCGTGTAACGTAATGTGTGGGAAATGTAGCTTGTTTGTCCTCGTGTTCGACGATTATGGGCAGAGCAGGAAAGAATTTGTCAGGAATTTGACATCCAGAAATTTCAGAATTTAGGAGTTCTTGGAATTTTAGAAATTTGGGTATGTAGGTAATTTAGAGATATCTGAAACATAGAAATTTCAGAATTTGACAATTTGAGAATTTGAAGATTTGTAACTATGTAAATTGAATATTTGATGATTATTAAAATTAAGAATTTAAGACTGTTTTATGTAACATAGAAATTCGAATAATTTAGAGATTTAAAAATACGGAGAATTTCCTTACAATTCAGTAGAATGAGAAAACAATAAAGCCGAATTTCAGAAAACCCACACTCGCTCATACTAATCAAACGCCATTACCATCAATTTCCGCGCAATTATCTTTGAAATTAATATTATCAATATCAACCGAATATGACACGAATGCGTGACATACGCAGCGACCACATTAAATTCCCTCTATGATTCTATGATGTTCCAGTGATCGTCTCTTGAACTCTCGATCGAGTTATCACGTCAGACGCGATAAACTGCCAGTGCACATCAGCTCGCTAACCATGCGCTAAGACAAACATCCTTCCCCATTACGAATAGGAACACGTCGTTTCCTGCCGTGCATAAATCGTCGAACTCCCCATTCATCGGGGTAAACCTGCAGCGGTGTCTACTTAATAATGCATCAAATACCCTAATCCCAAAGAATAACCACCGATATGTTGTACCTCGGTTGCGTTAGATCAAGTCCAAAAGGGAAAAAAGCGAAAAAGGGAGGGTCTTTGAGCCCGGCCATAAAAAAGAGCACAACCTCTAACAACTGTAACAACACGCGAGCTGGATCTGTTCTGGATATCCTCGACAGGCTGGAGATTTAATCTTTCATTTTATTTAGCCGGCTTGGTTAGAGCGAAAGAGAAAGAGTCGCGAAGGGGAGCCGTAAGGAGGTGGAGCAGCTTAAAAAACGATTCCCATTCAGTGTTTCCGTTGGAGGTTAAGCCGTTATTAGTTGGCCAGGGATTCTAACCAGGGACCTCCTCTTATTGGCTGGCTACGAAAACAACGATAAAAGGCGATGAGTATTTTATGGGGTACACCGGCACAATAGGACGTCGTGTATGGGCCATTGTTAAAGCATTGTCTGGATGAACGCAAGGCAAACCTCTCTTTCTCCTCTTCGTCGTTCGATTCTGGCTTCTTGGTCGTCGCAGAACGTACAGGCTCCGTGGCTCTATTATTTTATTATTTTCAAACACGTCAGCCCTTTCTCTTTTTTCTCTCTTCGTTTTCTTTTGTCGGGCACAGTGGGCGTGGCGAAACGATTGTGAACAAGTATGTTACAAATATGTCGGATTACTTTTCTTGGACGTGTGTGAATGATTGTTGTTATAAAGAGTAAAATTAAACTCGTCAAGGCTCGTTAGAAATCGTTTATCTTCGGATATTGGAATTTTGTTCGTTTTCTGTATTGACAGAACAACTTTATGTCGCCTCGCGTTATATCACCATGCGTTAATACATTCACACGTTATTATTGGAATGCGTTAATGTCGGTATGTGTTATGTCGCCACGCGTTATATTGCCACGTATTATATCGCTACGCGTTATATCGCCACGCATTATACCGCCACGTATTATATCGCCACGCGTTATATCGCCACGCATTATACCGCCACGTATTATATCGCCACGCGTTATATCGCCACGCATTATACCGCCACGTATTATATCGCCACGCGTTATATCGCCACGCATTATACCGCCACGTATTATATCGCCACGCGTTATATCGCCACGCATTATACCGCCACGTATTATATCGCCACGCGTTATATCGCCACGCATTATACCGCCACGTATTATATCGCCACGCGTTATATCGCCACGCATTATACCGCCACGTATTATATCGCCACGCGTTATATCGCCACGCATTATACCGCCACGTATTATATCGCCACGCGTTATATCGCCACGCATTATACCGCCACGTATTATATCGCCACGCGTTATATCGCCACGCATTATACCGCCACGTATTATATCGCCACGCGTTATATCGCCACGCATTATACCGCCACGTATTATATCGCCACGCGTTATATCGCCACGCATTATACCGCCACGTATTATATCGCCACGCGTTATATCGCCACGCATTATACCGCCACGTATTATATCGCCACGCGTTATATCGCCACGCATTATACCGCCACGTATTATATCGCCACGCGTTATATCGCCACGCATTATACCGCCACGTATTATATCGCCACGCGTTATATCGCCACGCATTATACCGCCACGTATTATATCGCCACGCGTTATATCGCCACGCATTATACCGCCACGTATTATATCGCCACGCGTTATATCGCCACGCATTATACCGCCACGTATTATATCGCCACGCGTTATATCGCCACGCATTATACCGCCACGTATTATATCGCCACGCGTTATATCGCCACGCATTATACCGCCACGTATTATATCGCCACGCGTTATATCGCCACGCATTATACCGCCACGTATTATATCGCCACGCGTTATATCGCCACGCATTATACCGCCACGTATTATATCGCCACGCGTTATATCGCCACGCATTATACCGCCACGTATTATATCGCCACGCGTTATATCGCCACGCATTATACCGCCACGTATTATATCGCCACGCGTTATATCGCCACGCATTATACCGCCACGTATTATATCGCCACGCGTTATATCGCCACGCATTATACCGCCACGTATTATATCGCCACGCGTTATATCGCCACGCATTATACCGCCACGTATTATATCGCCACGCGTTATATCGCCACGCATTATACCGCCACGTATTATATCGCCACGCGTTATATCGCCACGCATTATACCGCCACGTATTATATCGCCACGCGTTATATCGCCACGCATTATACCGCCACGTATTATATCGCCACGCGTTATATCGCCACGCATTATACCGCCACGTATTATATCGCCACGCGTTATATCGCCACGCATTATACCGCCACGTATTATATCGCCACGCGTTATATCGCCACGCATTATACCGCCACGTATTATATCGCCACGCGTTATATCGCCACGCATTATACCGCCACGTATTATATCGCCACGCGTTATATCGCCACGCATTATACCGCCACGTATTATATCGCCACGCGTTATATCGCCACGCATTATACCGCCACGTATTATATCGCCACGCGTTATATCGCCACGCATTATACCGCCACGTATTATATCGCCACGCGTTATATCGCCACGCATTATACCGCCACGTATTATATCGCCACGCGTTATATCGCCACGCATTATACCGCCACGTATTATATCGCCACGCGTTATATCGCCACGCATTATACCGCCACGTATTATATCGCCACGCGTTATATCGCCACGCATTATACCGCCACGTATTATATCGCCACGCGTTATATCGCCACGCATTATACCGCCACGTATTATATCGCCACGCGTTATATCGCCACGCATTATACCGCCACGTATTATATCGCCACGCGTTATATCGCCACGCATTATACCGCCACGTATTATATCGCCACGCGTTATATCGCCACGCATTATACCGCCACGTATTATATCGCCACGCGTTATATCGCCACGCATTATACCGCCACGTATTATATCGCCACGCGTTATATCGCCACGCATTATACCGCCACGTATTATATCGCCACGCGTTATATCGCCACGCATTATACCGCCACCTATTATATCACCACGCGTTATATCGCCACCTATTATATCGCCACGTGTTATTCCTATATATTACACACTTATACAACTTCGCAATAATTATTAATTTTGTATTAGTATTTCTGTCATAAGAAATATCAAACACGTCACCCTAATAAATACAAATTACAATATTACACTATAATTCGTAATGAAATACTTGATAAACTTTGACTAAAGTACAGTTTATTTAATTCAGACGATCAATCGTGGAATTGTCCACACTTATCATTGTTATAACAGGTAATAAAACAAACCTACAGGTTTGTTTGCGATCTATGGTAGATACTACACTCTTGCGCAAACTTTGTGTCCATTCTGTCAAAAGCAATCGTATCATTTCAATTCGTGAAAGACGAAATATATCCAAGCTATTTTCGCGCACTAAATATCTGAGTATTTACTCTGGAGGTGTTGAAGCGTGCGTCAACAAGAGGTTGGGCTCCGCCTGGAGCTGTTGAGGAGGGTTTAGTCGGGGGTGTCAGCTCGAATTATGCATCACAAGGAATACAACGACTTGAGCATTCTGTCGTGCGAAAATCCGGAACCTTGGGCGTTTGACGGTGAATTCGTCCGTAAAAAGCAGACCGTATTTGCTTCTGCGTCGTGTGAAACGTTTCGTTAAATAATATCTTTCGATCCGGCAATTGTCCCATCTTTGTGCTTCATAATATGCAGGTATTACGAGACTTGTGCAAGTAATCAGGTACTCGGTCAACCAAATATTTGCATGATCCAAATTCCATTCGAATATTTGAAATATGTAAATTCTACCGATATTCAAATATTACTGGTATTCGAATTCCAGTGGTGCTTGAACATTATTGATATTTAAATACGTAATTTATAAGGTTCCGTATATTCAAAGTATTCAACTAATAAATTATTTATTAGTTGGACACAGAATCAGAATTGGAAGATCAATTATCAAAATTGTACTCATGAAGTATTCGAAATATCTAGACTCAATTAATACTGAAATCTCACTAGTATTCGAATTTTCGTTACACATCTGAGCAGAACGTTAGATCATCAGAAAACACTACCCCCATAATCTATAGGCTAGCATCAGCAGCGAGCAGGATTGATTGATTACTAACCATTAACCCTAAAGTATCATGATAGGGTTGTATTTGCCCTTGTCTTCCAATCAAACCAATAAGCAATTGAATAACTAAAACCTTTGTGTATTATTATTATAAAAAGGAAAATTATAAAATTACAATGCGTTGAAAGTATGTTATATTTCTAAACTATGGTACGCTTAAAATATGTTTATTTTTTTGCAGAGAATTTTCAAAGTCTTCCTCCAGAAGCGATACCCGCGTTCCTACAAAATTTGCAAAATTCGGCGAATTACAACATTGCGAAACCCATCGCAAGACCGGCAGCTTACCATCCGTATCACAGGCCCAGTCATCAACCACCTCAACGCCATTTACCCCCGAATGCGCATCATACGTTACAACAACTGTTCTACAGAGGACCGTATTTAACAGGTAAACTTTATTCCACAATTTTAAAAAACATAATATTAAGGTTACGAAAGTTTCCATTGTTCTTAAAGCACTTTTAGACTCAAAGTAAGACTCAAAGTAAATTATTAACAAATTACTAATAATACTATTTTAGTAATTTATGAAATTTATGATTATTTTTGCTATAATAATAACTTTCATAGCTAATTTTTATAATTATTTTGTATCGGTCACATAGTCGTTTTGTACTGATTAAGCGGATAGTATATGCACAAATTAATAAATTTCAGTTCTCATGCAAATTAATACAGCTTCCCTTTATTATACAAGCTTACGGATATTATAACATCATAGCAAACTGTTACAAATTTGAATGAAATACTTCAATAATGTATAATTTATACATGACCGATGGGTACTTTTGCACATATCCAATATTTATTATTATACCATCCGTCACATATAAATTTCAATAAACCAAAACTATAATTTGTACATAACCTTCTATGCATACCCCATATACACGCATTCAAATTACAAATACAACATAGATAAAATCGCAATGTTTATAAAGCGGCCGATTGTAAAGGGAAGAGAATTTTTGATGAAAGTTTGTCGCAATATATCGCTGGTAACCAGGAGGAAAGATTATTAAACAAGTTGGACGCAAAGCGGAAACACGGTCCCGGTGAACATTTAAAACCGAAATTTCCGCACATGGCGCGAAAGCCTATAAACGCGGGCACGTGCACGGGCACCGGTTTATCGAATATCTTGTTATACGTAGGCTTGTATGGAACATGGAGTGCATATGAAGTGCAGTGAAAGCACTAGCATATTATGTACATGCACCGCCACAAGCAAAATGCACGCATGCAACAAGTGCGTGCAAATATCATCGGCGCAGATAATACTGTCATGCTCAGCTTGGCAATATTGTACAGATACGATCTGGAGATTCAATTGCCCGTTCGTTATTAGATGACTTTGATTCAATTACTATCGGATATGGTCTTTGATGTACCAGTAATTAATTTTTACTGCGCGTACTTTTTACGGTTTCGAATGTTGGGTGGTTTTATCGGGAACGTTAGTTTAACTCTTTGATTTTTATTTACAAAAGGAACTCTTTTTACTCTTTTAGGAATAATAACAAAGATTTAAATACGTTAATTATTGAAAGTAATATTGTATAATTTTGTGAACTTGTATACATGTGAAGTTGAAGTAATTGAACAAGAAATGTTTCAGTAGTTTTGGTAATAATAAAATATGCAGGGTATTTATGTTTGTCGGGGTTCAAAAACTGTATAGTATATCTAATACATTATTATCTCATGTATTCAGTACATTATAGTTGCCATGAGAGTCAAATTATTAATTATTTATGAAGAGTTTTGAAACATTGTCGTGGATGCTAGTAGTGCAAACCAACGATAGTCGCGAATTTCCGAAATCATCCACTTTCACTAATAATAATTTTATTTTTCTGCGATATTGACTTTCATGCCATATTTTTCAGTTACAAATGTTGCAAATAAAATTTCCGATTATTTTCTTTCAATGTTACTAAATGAAACAATATCGGTATCAGTAGTTCAAGTCAATGATAATCACAACTTCCAATTAACTGCCTCTAATAATTTTATTTCTCTTTCTATTTGCAACAATTTCTAGGCAATATCAAGAAAACATAATGATAAATTTCATATATTAACAGAAAGTTTCATTGTTCTCCAATTCTAACATCATTGTACCGACAACAATCGCTCTCAAAAAATCGTTTAACACCTTCGGTCCCAACTGTGTTTTAAGACACAGTCCACGTAAACGACAATGTTTGGAAGCTCGTAAAGTCGCTCAAACGTAAAAATATACGAAATGAGGTGATACAGAAGTAATAAAAACCTAATGGCTTAAGTTAACGCGACTCGACATTCGCAGATTTAAAAATGTTTTTTACGCCTTCGCTTTATCGCAGTCGAGTTGCACCTGCTTCTCGGGATTGAACGTGTTAACATGATTTTATGGTTCATTTATACCTAGAAAACGGTCTAAATACAAGCTAGAGTTTAAGTACTTGAAATACTTTGTAAACGTATTTTAACTCTATATTGTAAAGCAAACATATTTCGATACACATTGGAACATATTAATATTTAATCAGTTTGGCAATATGTTCCGAAATAAAAGCCCATATTTAGACCAGTTCTATCACATATTACTTGATAATTCAAAAACAAAGCTTCAAACCCTATTTTTGCAAAGGGAAATTTTATTGAAAATCACGTCCCCCCATTCCAGGGACCTACACTAATTGCGAGACACCCTGTTTATTTTTACGAGAAGATGCGATTGTTACGTAATGTTTTTCACCTTGAAATATAATGATCAGTTGCCAGTTCCGGAACTGGAGGTCATCATCCCGGTGCTCCAGGTGGAGGTACAGCGTTTCCAGGTGCGATTCAAGGTGGCCTCGGTGATTTTGCCAGCACAGGATTGGTGTTTCCATGGGCGACAAACGCTCGTGGAAAGCCGCGCAGAGGAATGATGAGAAGGGCGGTCTTCTCGGATCTACAGCGACGCGGCCTTGAGAAAAGGTTTCAGATACAAAAGTACATCAGCAAGCCGGACCGTAAGAAATTGGCTGAGAAACTCGGTCTCAAGGATTCTCAGGTAAGAAGCATCCTTAAAATATTATTCCAACAAATTATACTGTAGACATCGATATGACTATAACACAAATCAGGTGGATGATCAAATTATTATCTTCACTTTGAAATTATCAACTGTTTAAAATTCGATTGAGTACGAAATTGAAAACTGCGCTCTTATCAAGAACTTTAATAGTAATAAACGTATTATATTTTACGTATTATATTATTTTACACAGGTAACTCTGATGACAATTCTATGAAATTTGCAAGGTATACGTATGTTTTGTTCGTGTACCAAATTATGTATCAGTGTAAGGTTAATGTTGAATTTTTTACACCGTTATCTTCCACTATATTTTATCGTGCATTGCCAGCTTCTGTTCACCTCATTAGTAGCAATATAACGGGAGTTTACTCAATTTTTGAAGTTAATATAATTTTAAAAGTTATTAATTTTGCAACACTCATTATAACAAGGGTGTAAAACATGATTGTATCGATAAAATCGTTTAATACAAAAAGAAACGTCATATATTTTATAAAATGCCATTATTGTACTAATAAAGGAAAAGTAAGGTATTTCACTGTTATTAAAATTGCGACAAATTGAAATATAAATATGATTTCTTCGTCCGATCATAATTATTTGATCATTCGCTGTCTAATGATTATACAAGATAGCGGCATCAAATATGCCATATACAGGTAATTCGCGCATTATAACGTCTACGCGCTTGTCATAATCAACCGGTTGCCTTCGTAGCTGCGTGAAATGACAACCTGATGCTTTGTACCGGGTTTAATGATTTTAATGGCGTATTAATTGCTAATTAAACCAACGAGGCCAGCGTTTCCTTATCCTGCAACTTCGCGTCCGACAATTACCGAGACGTAACTATTCACGAACTAATTTGTTCGTGAACGTAGATTTATTCGGTGACCTTAATGAATTCTACAGAATATTCTGTAATTTCTAAATGTACATTTTTATTTCAATATATTGAATTATAGAATTTAATTACGGAGTTTAAAATTAGATATTTTTTTTTAAATATGTATTTATTTATCTAATCATATGTACTAATTTATCACGATATATATTTATGAACTACCATTTATTTATTTTTCTACATCACTTTAATTTGAAAATAAAAAATGATTCGGTAATCGAACGACAACAGTTTATTAATTTTCATCGTACATGACAATGGCAGGTTCTCGTTAATAGATTCACATAATCGAGGAATTAATTTGAAGGAAAAGTAGAGAAAAGAAGGAAGGAAAACCGTCGTTAAATATGTATATAACGCTTAATGATCTTATTAGGGCATTAATTGTCGATCGAAGTACAAAACCTCTCAGTGAAGTATTTCATTCTGCTATACTTAATTTGATTCTAAAGAAACGTTGTTCATTCACGACTCTATTTCGTTGAATTAATCGAGATTAATACATTGATTTTGCTGCTATATATGCAAATTCAACCATTCTGAAATACAACGAGTATCAAGAACAGCTACTTTGGTAATGTTGGTCATTACTTTTCATTGAAACGATTTTATTCTTTACCAAGTCATTAAGAGTACTTAATGAAGCACTTAGAAAGCGGTTCCGACAACCGTGACGCGTTTATAGCGTCATCAACAAGCATCGAAACAACTATTTACAAAAATAACGAGCGGAGAACCTTTTATGGACTGTAATGGTCTTTCGAATTGATTCGATGTACAAATGTAGGAATTTCATTCCCATTTTCCAATTTTCCCATTTCCCAATTTTCCCATTTTCCATTCTTTCCATTTCCCAATTTCTCTATTTCCCAATTTCCAAATTACCCAATTTCTCAGTTTCTCAATTTCTCAAGTTCCTAATTTCTCGATTTCTCGATTTCCCATTTTCCAATTTTCCCATTTCTCAATTTCCCTATTTCCCTACTTCCCAATTTCTCAATTTCCCAATTTTCAAATTACCCAATTTCTCAAGTTCCTAATTTCTCAATTTCCCATTTTCTAATTTTCCCATTTCTCAATTCCCCTATTTGCCTATTTCCCAATTTCTCAATTTCCTAATTTTCAAGTTACCCAATTTCTGAAGTTCCTAATTTCTCAATTTCTCACATTTCTCAATTTCTCAATTTCTCAATTTCCCAATTTGAGAAGTAACCAATTTCTCAGTTTCCCAATTTCTCAATTTCCCAATTTCCCAATTTCCCAGTTTCCCAATTTCCCAATTTCCCAATTTCTACACTTCTCGTCCAAACTTCTACATTCCCAAATTAAAAACTAAGAAACCTAAAACTTCATAAATCAAAAAATTTCAAAGTTTCAAAATTTCATAATTTAAAGAATTCGAAAATTTTGAAACTAAATTACATACGATCTATTATGCAAAACACTAGTAGGCCCCTATATTTTTCTCTCACATAATGACTTCAGACAAATAAAACACAGAAAAATTATATCTTACTTAATAACCTATACGATAACCTACATGAACACTTTTATATTTTCACATTTTCCGACAAACAAATTATAATTAATTATTATGACAACCTGTGAAGCTTACTTAACTAATATTATCATCTCACACGAAATGCTAAATAATTTGAAAATCCTTGGTCTATCACATCCAACTGCTCGTTTAATTGATATTCATCTAATAATAAATCTATCTTCATTAACGACAAGGAAATCGTTGAATTACTATTTAGGAGTACGATATAGGAAGCTGCTCGCTTATATAGCAGAAAGAGCGATGGCATAGGTGCACATGGAGCTAGAAGCATATAATAGCCACAGTTTGGGGTTAATCGGGCGATGCCAGTTCATTAGCTGCACACATACGAATACACCAGCAAATGAACGTATATGTATGCCGGCGTTCCGACGCCGTCGCTAGCAGGCTGGCTTCGCACCAGCGACGTTAATGAAACTAAACGATGCACAGAAAATGCCACTGTAAGTTAGTTTCATTTGATTTCATGAGCCCAGTTTACCAATCTCTAACTCTAGTGATACTTCCACAAAAGTCTGACCAAAATTCAGATATGGCATTGTTTCAGATATGACATTGTAAAAGGATCAAAATTCAGATATGTCATTGTGTGAGGATCTTTAGATTTTTATTTAAAATTCATATTTGAAAATCTGATAAATTTTGTATTTTTCAATTTTTATATTTATATCTCCTCATTAAGGAGTATTAAGGATGTTGCAATTTGGGGATTTGAGAATTGGGGGATCTAGAGATTTTAGGGTGTAGAAATTTGGAGATCTACGGATTTTATAGTCTAGGTATTTATAGAGTTAGAAATATGGAGATCCAGGGATTTGGATATCTGGGAATTTGAGAATTGAGAGATTTGAAGACTTAGGAACTTTTGTATTTCGGAAAGTTTTTATAGTCGAAAACCTAGGGTTTTTGGAACTTGAAAATTCGGAAATTTGTGGTATTAGAAACCCTTGAAAACTTGAAAACTTGAAAACTTGAAAACTTGAAAACTTAAAAACTTGAAAACTTGAAAACTAGAAAACTTGAAAACTAGAAACCCTTGAAAACTAGAAACCCTTGAAAACTTGAAAACTAGAAAACTAGAAAAATGAAAAATCTGAAAACTAGAAAACTTGAAAATTTAAAAGTCTAAAAACTGAGAACTTGAATACTTAAAAATTTAAAAGTCTTGAAAATCTTGAAACTCGAAAACTTGAAAGCTCGAAAATCCGAAACTTCAAAAATAATTTACAAATTTCAGAAATGTAAATGTTACCTGTGCACCCTTACCCAAAATAATCCTATACCCTCCACTATCTACCGTATTGCAAGATCAAAAAGCATCAATCATAATCCAAGTCTCTTATTTAAAAGCGATTCCGATCAATTGAAAAAATAGGTTCGTTTTCTGTTACGCATCTCCATCTTCCACGATCGAAAAATATTCTCCATGTATCCCCCGTGAACACCGACGGTGGGTTGATACATTTTGCATACGTACGAGCATATGGTCGTATGTAAATGAGGCGCAAATAAGGGTAAGAGATAACCATTGGTTAGCGAAAGGTCGAATAGAGTGAAAGGGGACGAGGAGTCGGAGAAAGAGGGTGCAACGGAGATGGAGAAAGGGTGCGGAAGGATATATTCTCATGTATAATTCACACCTCGAGCGCCATGCCTCCACTGCCATTGGTTGAGGCCCACTCTCGTCCTGGTTTTACGAGGAAATCTAAGGACCACGCATACGTGCACAAACTGCTTTACACACACGCACACACACACGCATATACTTGCAAGAACCATACCACTTTGGAGTTCGAGTAAATTGACGGTTCTTGCGAATTCGTAATCCGCATACAAAGCTTCTCCTCTCTTCTTTCGATGTACTTCTATTCCTCTTCTTATTCGCTTCGTCATGGAACAATTGATAGTAACGTTGTGGACGCCATGGAAGTTCAAAAAGCTCTTCTTCTTTTACTACTCCTGCCGAACGTGATTTCACGAGCTGTCGCTGTAAAACGGTTAAGGGGTGAAATGTTACGAGACAGCGAAATTTTTTATGCTGCTGTATGAATTGGTTTATTGATTATTCGATCGTATTAGTGATTTTGGGCATTGATATGTTGGTGAATAATAGGTCTATTCTATGGTTCTACATTTTTTAATGACACTTAGGGTTTTAGGATACTTAACTTGTTTTAAAGTAACAAATGTAATTGAGAATGTTTTGTAATAAATATAATTTACAATATTATTTTTAAATGTAATTTAGAACATATAAAGATGGATTCTTCCAGTGTAACAAAATGGCTGCCAGTTCAAAGGTTAAATTAGTCTTAAAGTAAATCTAAATCTTAATTCTTAAATCTAAAATCCTGAAATCCTAAAATCCCAAAATGAGGAAACTTTGCAAGTATACGATCTTAAAATCCCAAAATCCTGAAATTCAAAAATCTTAAAATCCTAACATCGCAAAACCCTAAAAATCCGGCTATCTTAAAATTCTAAACTCTTGAAATCTTGAAATCCTAAAATCCTAAAGCTCCAAAATTTCAATATCCTAAAGCCTCAAAATTCCAGAATCCTAAAATCTCAGAATCCTGAAATTCAAAAATCTTAAAATCCTAAAATCCTATAAGCCTGAAAATCCGGCTATCTTAAAATTCTAAAATTCAAATTCTTAAAATCCTGAAACCCTAAAATTCCAGAATTCCAAAATCCGAAAATCCGAAAATCTTAAAGTCTTCAAACTCCCAAATCCCCAAATCCGAAAATCCCAAAGTCTTCAAACTCCCAAATCCCCAAATCCCCAAATCCCCAAATCCTCAAATTCCCAAATCCTCAAATCCTCAAATCCCCAAATCTCCAAATCTGAAAATCCTAAAATCTCCAAATCCCCAAATCCTCAAATCCCCAAATCCCCAAATCCCAAAATCCCAAAACTCTCAAATCTCAAAAACTCCAAAACTTTGTATTTCACCCATCTCTAACAAACCATTTCTAAAATCCTTAAAATCTCGCATATCACAATCGTCGCAAAATACCCTCCACTTCGTCCACCAGTTTTAAAAGCAAAGAAAAGCCCGTAGCACCTAAAGCTTAAACGTTCCATCAGAAAATATTAACCGACTTCTCGAGGAGTAAGACCAGATAGTAAACGTGTTATGCTACAGAGTCCAACGTTACTATATTTGTTCTCACGTAGCAACGAGATAGGAAAAAGAGGAAGAGTTTTCAAGTAACCGGCGAGTATGTTGAGTGTTGTGCGATTTGAGGACTGTGGTTCTGCGCACTTGGCTGCTATCTAATATCACGGTTCACCACACGAACACCCATAAAAGCGATTATTGTCCGATGATGGCTTTCTCTTCTCCCTGAAGTTTCTCTCTTCTGTTTCTCTTAATATAATACTCAGCTGCGAACACCAGATGCCGAGCTTTCTCTGCAATCTTTGTATAATATCTTCGACGACATTCTCTAATTATTTCAATTTAATCGTAACCTTTTATTAGGTCCTAAGTTTCGTTTATGAATACATACTATGTAATTGAAAAGTTTATTGAAAATTAAGAATTATACAGATATATTATAGGATTATATTTCTTATAAATTAAGAAATATGGATATTTCTCGTATTCACTTGTTACTTTCGTTGCACCTCTAGTTTGGATCCTAAAATGGTCCGCCATTTTGTATAAGTTACTACGATAACAACCACACTATTAGATGAATACCAGTAATAATATAAATAATATAAATGAACAGTGTAAATAATACCTATAAACAACATAAATAATAACAATATAAATTTAATGATAACAATATATAATATTAATAACAGTAAAAATAATATTTATCAAATAAATGTAATCCACATTCGCGACGTACAACTGCGTTATAAATATCTTTAAAAAAATGGAATATAATTCACGGACGTAATAAAACAGTGAACCAAAAGCCATAAAGTAAAATTGAATTGCAAATTTGAAGAATGCGACTAGAAATTTCAATGATATTCTAACTAACCCTCGGACGGTTAGTTTCTTTCTTGATCGTATTCGTAATCATACCGGTTTTATGAATCTTTCCTGAGATTTAATTAAGGACTTGCGGTGTACGGGTGGATGATAATAATAAAGCTTTTCCAAGGGTAGTCTGTACTTTAAGAAGCGACAGGACGGCGAGGGGGATGAAGAAGGGAAAGGCAAGGTGCCGTTTTACTCAGGTTCGAGCCTTCACTACAGTTTATGACGAGGGTGGGTTTAAGAGGGACGTCGAGGGCTAAAGAGGGATGACTAAAGTAATTAGTGATGGTGAGTGAACTCGCCCTTCCACCGGAATATTTCCCCTCTTTGTTCTTGATATCCTTTGACGATGCGAAACCGTTCATCTATCCTTACGCGTTTTATCGAAAAATTCAACATTGTACTATGTCTCTCTTCGCTCTCTTGTGTTTCTATAGTTCACGTCAATCTTGATTCGTTATTTTACGTTCTTCTTTTACAGGGAAACTGTCGTACTTTCATATCGAAAATATTTTCAATTTTTAAAGTTTCATGCAAAACCTTCGAACGCTATGCATCCATTAAATGGTAGGAGACGGCTTTACAAATTGGGGTCTTTTGTGCGACTTTCGGGAACACTTTTTCAACATACGTTTATTATAAGTCTACGTCAAAAATGTATACGTTTTAGAACATTATTTAGACGCGAAAGAAATTGGATGGATATTATTTTTTGTTAAATAAATGTTCATAACAATATACGAGTACAATGTTTAGAAATATAATCAAGCATAATGTTCATAAATACATGTAGTCAAGTGCAATGTTCATAATGTACAGTCAAGTGCAATGTTTGTAATTTATAGTCAGGTATCACATACATAAATATTATCAAATGTAATGTTCATAAATATAGTCAAGTACAATGTTCATAGTGTATAGTTAAGTGCAATGTTTATAATTTATAGTCAAGTATCACATACATAAATATAATCAAATGTACTGTTCATAAATATAGTCAAGTACAATGTTCATAGTGTATAGTCAAGTGCAATGTTTATAATTTATAGTCAAGTATCACATACATAAATATAATCAAATGTACTGTTCATAAATATAGTCAAGTACAATGTTCATAGTGTATAGTTAAGTGCAATGTTTATAATTTATAGTCAAGTATCACATACATAAATACTGTTCACAAATATAGCCAAGTACAATGTTCATAGTGTATAATCAAGTGCAATGTTTATAACGTACAGTCAAGCATCACATACATAAATATAATCAAATGTAATGTTCATAAATAAAATGAAGTACAATGTTCATAAACATAGTGAGGAATTGGGAGCATGCGAATGTACATTTTTCGGTAAGATACAGCAATCATGTCAAAGAGAGTTTCAATTTTGTCAGAAGACCAGAAGGGTGAAGAGCACAGGATGTCAGAACCGAGCGTATTGCCTCTGGGCAGGATTCATCAACGCGTCGACCTTAAATTAGCCGGAATTAAGATGTACCGAGCACTTTTATGCTCAAGACGTTTCCGTGCCGTCGGACGAACGGAAGCGAAAGAAAAAGTAAAGAGGGTCCCGAGGGCTTGTTATCTTTTTAATAATCAAAAGCGACAGCTCCACGACGGTTCGCCTTCTCGCAGCTTCTTAGACCTGTCAGAGTCACGTCACGGTATTAATTCATGGTGTAAAGAGTGATTACATTTTGACCATAGTAACAGAACCATCATCATATTTGACCGCAGTGATAGAACCATGATCACATTTGACCATAGTGACAGAAGCATGGTCATATTTGGATCACAAACCAATATCGACATGTCACACATTAAGTTCTATGATGTACAACCTTGATATATTAACACTAGATTTATGAATATTTAATGAGATTACTTTTAGGATAGAAATAAAGTACGACTAAATAAGGGATGAAACAATTAATTTTTACAATTATTCTTTATCTTGACACAGGTTAACATACATTTTATCAAAAGCATCTTTATTTTTGTAATTTAAAATGAATTCAACAAGCGTCATTTTGTGTTCCATAAAATATTAAATGTATCTAAACCGACTTTTCGTGATTTGATTGAAAGTGCGAATAAAAAATAAAAAAATCTAATTTATTATATTAATTAAAGATTGCTGCTAGGGAGAAAAATTGAGAGTACGTTAATTGAAGGCGTCAAAGAGGTACACACCCCTGATTCAATCTTTTCATTTCTTTATCTTCAAAATAAGAGGGTTACTCCTTCGATCAGGATGTCTTGAAGATTTAGCAAATTAAAAGGACCGTGCGAAGAATAGCTCGCACTCGATGCTACTGACAGCCTATTTAATCTTCCTGGAAAAAATAAGCTTCTCCTTTCAACAAGTATATCCTTGATCTTCAATTTGAAGTTTGATTAAGACGATAGCATATCGTCGATTCTATTTCATCCCCTTGTTAATCGTTCCCCTCGAAATGAAATTGAATTAATACGGGGGATGATGCTTAACTATACAATTAACTTCATTCCATTTTCAAATAAATTTGTTCACGGAAAACTCATTTGAATTTATATTCATTGTATTTCAAGGTTTGGAACATCATTTGTCAATCAACATTTTCCTATTTAATTGCAGAATTAACTGTTCCAAAAAATCAAATATTCTGATAAAGGATTTATTATCAACTTTTGCAAGGATGCTGATCTGCTATTCTACATTACCTATATTTATATATTTTTAAAAATTCAATAATCAGTGACCATATATCGACACAATATGAACAGCGTCGTAAGTCACACATATGTATTTACATTAAAGTTACAATGTTGCTCATAAATGATTATTTATATATCTTCATTACCTTCTCGTAAATATGCAATACTTTCAGAATGACTATTTACTCAATAGCTACGGATTGAAAATAAATAAAATAGAATTACATCAAGAACTTTTGTTACGTCCCTTCCTCTCATAACATTAAAAATTAACCCCAAAGAACTTCGAATCGATCAATCTAAAAATTATTTAACAAATCACTGTAAAAATCTAAAAAATAAATCTAGTAAACAGTAAATCTAAAAAAGACAAATAGCTCAGTTTATCACAATTAATGCGTCCAAATAAAGTCATCCATTCTCGATACGTTTAGTTACACGGCGATTTAGATACTCGATTGGATACCTATGGAAGTGAAAGAAGAACAGCTTGTTCTTTCCCATGAAACTGACACTGACACGTTAGATAGATCGACCATTAGGCTTGCGTTTCAGACAAATATAAGGTTTCTCGGGATTCCGTTGGTTAAATCAATTTGCAGCCATTAGAGCTGCTTCTGCATCAAGTTTACTTTGGACGAGCTCTCCCTAGAACAATCGGTCACTCTTCTTCTCCGTGGGGCCATTTCAATATTTACTCACTACTCAATCTTCTACCCTGATCAAAATCAAAAGTACTCTGCTGTTTTGCTTGTTTGTTTTTGTAGGAACTTTAGTTATGTTTCGAATCAACAAATTATAGTATTTAATTATAAAAATAGTGTTTTACATGGAGTTTTGGTCTTTGTTGCTTTTTTTCTCTTTGGGAAGGTTTGGGTTTCGGGGATTTAGGGATTTGAGGATTTGGGGATTTGGGGATATGGGAGCTTGGGAATTTGAGAGCTTGGGGATTTGGGAGCTTGGAGATTTGGGAGCTTGGGAATTTGGGAGCTTGGGAATTTGGTGATTTGGAGACTTAGGGATTTGGGGATTTGGGAGCTTGGGAATTTGGGAGCTTGGGAATTTGGGCGCTTGGAAATTTGGGAGCTTGGGAATTTGGGAGCTTGGGAATTTGGGAGCTTGGGGAATTTGAGGATTTGGGAATCTGGAGATTTGACAATTTCAAAATTTATGGATTTAGAAACTTCCGAATTTGGAGATTTGGAGATCTAAGGACGTAGTGATCGTGGAATTGGAGGATTTAAAAATTTGTAATTTTGAGAATTTCAGAAATTTAAAATTTAGACCCTTAGTAATTTGGGAATTTTTTAATTTGAAACCTCAGAACTTTCGAAATTTAAAAACTCAAATTTGGAATTCAAAAATTGCAAATATTAAGAACTTGAAGGTTTCCATAATTATTTCTTCAAAGTCCATAAACTCGCTTAATTTTACAAAATGAAAGAAAATAAAGTATACATTTTCTCATTCAAATTCCTAATTATAAATCACCTTCAAAATCGACAAACTCATAAATATCTAAACAGTTACATAAGTTTTATCTTTGAAAGTGTCCTCACTGTCAGATGTTCTTGTTGTCAAGGGGCATTTTATAAAAACGATCTTGCGATTTCACGTCGGAAGGCTATGAAAAGGAAGGTATTTCGAAATCACCCCGATCGTGGCATGGTTTAGTTGGGGTATGAGCTGCGAATTTGAAATTCGCCCGCGTGTCGATGTTATAACGGGCTACAGCTGTGAGTGGTTACGACCTGGCACGAATGGGAAGTGATATTTCCGGACGAAATGTCGTACCAGCAATACCGATGCATTCGCTCGCGACATGTGAAGATGTCTAAG